TGAAACATCTTGACTCTGTTGCAGTCTATAATCATTGTTGTTGACATTAGCGGAGAGATCGTGGGATAGCAAAATAACTGGAGTAATTGGATGGAGTGTAGTAAAACAATAATTTAAAGGGAATACTCAGTCTGATCACTAGTACAGTTAACCCCCTACTGTAGCGTTAGCATTTCAAATACGGTGTAGACAGTTCCAGCTGTCCCAGGAAGTAGATGGATTTTAAATGGGATGGTTGCCTAAGCAATAGCTCAGAAATATTCATTTCTTTCTCTGCCACCACTTCTATACCTCATATCCTTCTCTCATTCCTTTCACACGAGGAGAGAGAGGAATCTCAGTGGGCAGATCAGATCAGCTGGGGAGAAACATCCCCAGTGACCGTCTATGTAGCTTCATCATAATGATCAAGCTAAGGATATGCTTCCTGCAGAGCTAGGACTCTGAACTTCTCTCCCAGGTCCTTCCCCGGCTTCAAACAAATCACTTAACCTCTGTGTGTGTGGGGACAGAGCTGGGGTGAACACTGGATGCTCATAAAGCTCTTTGACCTTGAACTGAAGAGTGCAATATCGAGACAAAAAGGACGGATTTACAAGAATATTGAGGTGCCCAAAGATGCAGGTTGACATCTAGTGGGATTCACAAATCGCCTGGGTGAGTTAGGAACCTAACTCCCATTGGCTTTCAATGTTCTTTATTACGTTATTTATTTCTACACTTGAACCTGAGCCCATTTTCAGTAATTTTCCAGAACACCTTCACTTCCCCTCGGCGTGCTATAGCATTACTGGTCGCTACGGTAGACAACTGGAGTATAAAGTGACCCGTCACTCCCTTACGTGCTGCTGGCTACCAAAATGGGCACGCTAGTTCTACGGATCACCCAGACACAGACAGAACGTCCTTATTTCTTTGCTTGTTGGATGCATGTGCCCTGAAGTAAAGAGTGCAGCAATCAAGCTCTTGAAAGTAAGGCGTACCCGCTTACATACAGTGGGGACTAAAAACGTTCCTGCCCTGCTGAAAAAAATGTGAGTGCCATCCTCCACGTATCTAGTGGTATGGAGAAGTTCACAGACCTGGAAACACTAATGGTTAGCAAAGCTCTTAGAAGTAACAAAAAGCCAGCATTACTTTTTGGTATGCAGTCTGGAGACCAAACACCTACAGTCAAATGTGCAAAAGTCTAACACCCTCCCAACCCTTGCAGTAAACAAGAGGAAACAAGCTCATGACACTGCAGACTCGGTACTGCAAAGTGTTATACTGAAAATGAAGGGCTTGCTATCAAAGGTCAGCTACAGACATTACATTTTTATAAGGGCTTCTATACACGTGCAGGGAAGCTGCTTTGACACGCTCTAATTACACTGCGTCTAATTACCACACTCCAGCAGACTCCAGCATCATGTGCATCAGTGTCCCCGTGCTGAAAAATAGCAGCGGGGTGCTTTTCAAGCTTTAGTTCAAAGTGCCCCACCACCATTTTTCAGCATGGGGACATTGATACAAGTAACACTCCAGGTGCTTTTAATTAGTGTGGCGCTCGGAGCTGCACCAGTTAAAGCCCTCCCCCTCCCCACCTCCTGGAGCATGTCTATAAATGCCCTAAGTGATCGGAAACTGGTCTATACCTGTAACAGAGGTTTAGCACACAAACCCATAACAAAACAGACATTTGGCACATGTAGACTTGTTTAAAAATGACAGAAACCCAGTCTAAGATTTGTCCCCTGCCATAACCAAAGGGCAAATGTGCGTTCTGTTCACTACTGATCTAAACTACGCTGCTTACAGAAAACTGCCAAACTTAGATCGACTCCACCTCTGGCTTTTTGAATGTCTGTACCAAGCCATAGTCCATAAGAACTTCAGTACATGCAGAATTGTTTTCTTACTGATATTCCAGCTGTATAATGCAATATTAAGTCAGGCTGGCTCAGGCTCCTCTGGGGAAAACGTAGTCCTAATTATTTCAAAATGTAGGCTGATCTAGTAAGGCAAATTCCTAAGTTCCAGTGGGCTTTTTTGGTGTCTCTTCCCTGAGGATCACCAACTGTTTTTAAATGTAAGCTAAAAAGCTTCACAACCCCACGAGAGCAGAAATGTCACATGGGTAAGTGGAGGCTCTGAGCACTTTACCCATATGAACAAGATCACCAAGAGAAGGGCAGTTGCTCCTCAGTCCTTACGTCAAGCCTGCATTATCTTTGCAAGTGAGAAGCTAGGGTTGACACCAAGACAATGAGCTCAGTGCAGGATTTACTGGGTGAAGTCCTCTGGCTTGCATAAGTAGAAGATTTCAACCAATGATCAAAATAGTCCCTTCAGGACTTAAAATCTGTGACTTGGTGGCAGAGAAGGGAAAGCTCTGCTTTCCTAGTTTCCCCACTCTAGACACCAGATCGTACTCCTGGCTGCTATGTTCAGCGGTGGATTAAGATTTATTGGGGTCCTGGGCAAGCAGAAAATTGGAGGCCCCCCACACCCATTATAAACATGATACATTCATGAATATATAGTGCCACTCCTCCCCCACAGTCAGGCCCCAGGTCCCAGGAGCTGGATTCCAGCGGCACAGAGGGGCCCCTTCCCCTTCTGGTGGTGCCACTTCCAAAGGCAGGGCAGGCCGCCGTGCCCTGCAGGGGAGGCTGAATGGACCCGGCTGGACTGGAGGGGGGGGGGGGCAAGCCGGGGGGTGGGTGGCCCCACCCCCCCCCCCCCCCCATGCCTCCCCTGGGGGGTGCGCACAGCAGTGGGGAGCCACCGGCCCTCCTCCTCCACACCCCCCGGACAAGCTGCTCCTGGTTCCATCCCACTGCCCACCCCAGGCCTGGATCCCATGCACCACCCTGGCTGGGCAGCGCCCCCAGCCCCTGCCCCTGCCACACTCGCTCCCTCACTGTGGGGGCCTCAATCTGCCCCCCCCCATGCCTCTTCCCCTCCAAAAACTTACCTGCAGGGAGCTGCTCTCCACACTGCCCAGCTGTGCTCCTGGCCACATGCACGCATGCGGCCGTGCACATGCACGCGGCACCCGCTGTGTCTCACTCCCAGCAGCCTCAAGCAGGACCTCTTGCAGGCTAGACTGCTGCCCGCTGCAAGGGGGAAATCTGCCATTTCTCGAGGGAACCCAAGCACCCAGGGCCCATACATTAATCATAGGCATTAATAGATGCCACCCTTGACAAACAACTTAAAACAGTGTCCTACCTGAATTCCCCAGTTTCTTTTCACCTCCTTCGAGTTCAAGAGCAGCTCTTAGACACTGTGTATCCAACATATTCAAAATCCAGCAGCTAACATTAGGCAGCTGAGACTTCCCCCCCTTGGATGCTGAGCAAACACAGCGGAGAGGGTTCCTACTCCCAGGCAGCACTGAAGCCATTTTGTCTCAATTAAGCACATCTCCCCGAGATGAAAACTTTTAT